ACTAAACAGCAAGAACAAAAATACCTCAAAAGCATTTATGTGTTACTTATTTTTTCAAAAAAAACTTACAGTGGTATTTTGGTTCATGAATAAAACTTAAACATGATTGTAGTCATGAACCAAATTAGTGGGGAACAAAATCAAATTTCCCCATACAGTTCAGTGTCACTGGAGATGTGGAGTTCATGAACAGAGGCAAAATTATGAATGCTTCTGTTCACAAACTGCATTGTGAGCTAACCCTGTATTTTGGGGTTGAAAACCACCTTTAAAAACTGCTGGTTCCAAGATTCAATTATTTATGAATGTGTATTTTAAATACCTCAGAAGACATTCTAGCTAAAAAAGCACTGATTTTGAATTAGGTATGACACACCTATGTGTCAAAGCCACTATGATTTCAAAAGCAGCTGCAAGCCAGAGGGGTCTCCTGGGAGAAAACAGTAGCCTTGAACCCAACTGATACAGATTATTAGCATTTTGACTCCATTACATACTAGCTATCATTTGTAAAAATGTTACTTGACTTTCCTCACTTACAAATTCAGAGAATTATACCTAGCTTTTGAGGTTGTTTTGCACAGTAAAGATAATACATATAAAATCTGTTATAAGGTACACAGCATATAAAATATACGTAGATAATCATGCCTATTATAATTTTTATCTTCAGTTTTGAATTGTAAAGAAGCATTTTATTTTGGCTTTGTATTTAGACTTGGTAAGAAAATTTTAAAAATCCATGACAAATTTGTTTTTTTAAATGAAATGTTAATTCTAATCTTACTAATAAAGCATAGCACTGTCAGCAGTAATTAATTTTAGAATAAAAACTTTTTTATCCAGACTGCAATAATTAATTTTAATTAGTTATAAAGCATTATGATAAATAACCTGCCATTAATATACTTGGGTTTATACAAAATTGAAGATACAAAAAAAAGCAACTGACATATGTAGATAACCTATAGAAAAAATACACTTGATTATATTTGCAATGTTATGGCTTTGATGTATTTGGACCATTGACAAATATCCATACTATGTTGTTGTTTCAGATTAGTTAGAATGTAGACTAGACCATGAAACTCAAAATGTAGTGTTTGTATTGTTCAGAATTTTACTGTCCAATGATAAAATGGATCATTAGGAAAAAAGATAAGGCTGGGTAGTTGGATCTTCACTAAGTGACTTAAGGACAGACACATCCTCTCTCATCAGGAAAGCATCATTAGAAATGTGGGCCAGTACGAGCCCTTGCAGAGGAATAAGAAAACACATGGCCATTAACTGCCCTCGAGACCTTCCCTTTCACTCCAATACCCTTGACCCATCATTCTTGCCATTTTCTGAAGCAGTTGTAGAAGTTCTCTTTCACAACTGCGTTAAAAGGTATGAATTTTAAAAAAGGTACAATAAAAGTACCTTTTTCATGAAACATAGCGCTGTGAGACTTCCGGCTCTTCCCCAAAACCAAATAACCATGCAAAAGGTAAACACTGAATCAGTTCAGGACATCAAGGCAGTCAGGATGGCACCAACTAAACATACTCTTGTGTTATAGCTCATATCTAGCTGTCCCCGCAAACCTTCACGTGCTCACAGGAGGGGCTTTTCAGAGCTGAGGGGATACAGTGTGTGATCCTGGGATTAAGGGTGTGTGGTATTAAATTAGTTCACTGATTGGAATTAGAATAGTTTTGAGTAGCATCATCAAGAAGGCTGGTAGCCTAGACAGGACAACAAGGAAAGGCAGGCTGGCTGCTGGCAGCTGGCAGGTGGTTGCTTGCTGCGTTCTGCCTGCCATCCCATGTACTGTTTCTCCTCTGGGATACCCCTGCTTCCATACTGCCCATTTTGGAGCCAATCCTATGGACTGAAACCCACATATACTATGAGCTGAAATAAAGCTGTCTTCCTTTAATTTGTGGGCTTTAGGTATTTTGTCCCATCAACAAGAAAAGTAACTAAGACACTCATGGGAAAAAAGAAAAAAAAAAAAAAACTACAAGAAATGCATTAGAAAGTGGTATGAATGAGGAGATAAGTATATTTGAAGCTAGGTTCCACATTTTTTTAGGTGGTCAATGGTAATGTGTCTTTTACTGTACTACTTTTTTAAAAAAATATAAAGAAATGATACTTTATATCAGACCTCATATAATGTGTTTATACACATACAAATATTGGCATCTATTTGTTCTTTAAAAATATTTTTCTTAAATTATTAAAGTAACTCTTGTTCAGCAATTACTATTTTCTCTGAGAAACTGCTTAAACATGAAGAGTATTCCAATAGTGATTAGATTTGTCAAAAATTCTTTTGTGTTTCTATACTGGTTACTTTATAATTCAACAATTTAGAAAGTCTTTTGTATTTGTATCTCTATTGAATTCAACATTTTTCTCAGCATAAATAAAATGAGTGTGATTTGGAAACATGCCATAAAGCAAAGCATCTCCATTTTATAGAAGCCCAAAAGCACATTGGTGTTCATACACAATTCCTAATCCTTTTTATTTTCCCCTCTGTCATCTTCACAAAGGAAATTGGGTAAAAGTTGTTTGCACATTTTAAATTGTGCATGAAGGCACTTAACATTTGAATATAATAAACCTTTCTAGCACTGTGCTATCAAAGCTTCCTGTATAGGTGGCTCCTTGGTGAGTGGGCATCCTGTTCCACTTGGTGGCATTCTCTGTTCAGTGACTGCGATGTAGTGTGATTGACAGCTGCGTTACATACTTGGTGAGGCATCTGGCTAAGATTAAATGCTGTTCACGATTGTAATCTAGATTAAAGCTCTCTATGTAGCCCATGACCTTCGATTAAATGCTTCTAACTTTTGCATAACACATCAAATGGAAAGGCTTTTGGTTTCTAGGTCAGTTCTAGGTTTAGAGTGTATTTGTAGGTATAGAGCTATAGAAGGCAGGTTTTAGCTTGATTAAAATGCTTCTATACTGTTAAAACAGCACACAAATAAAATGGTCATGTTTCCAACTATAAACAAGGAGGTTACTTTTGGGTCCCTCAATATACTTTACTGCTCAGAAGTAGAAAACAACAAATTAAAGAAAATAATGACAAAGTGGCAAAAGTACAGCGGTACCTTGGTTCAGAAACTTAATTTGTTCTACAATCTTGGAAACGATAATCACATTTGTGTTGAAAATACGGTTGAAGTTGTGTTTGTCACAGAATTTGCAAACAAAACCAAAACTTTGCTGAACACCTTTGTGAACCAAATTGTTTGCAAATAACAGCATTCATGAGCTGAGGGAGCACTGTATAAAGAAGTGTTAGTACTGGAAGACTGAATTTTGATTGGAAATACCACTCTACTGTAGTAAAGGTAGGCTGATAAATTTTTCAAGCAAGATTATGCTAAATTCTCATCTTACATTCATTTATTTTTATTCCTTTTTTCCATTATTTTAATAATGTGCCATACTTTTCTAATAAAAATACTATTTCTCTTCCTCGTTACTTCGACTTATTATTTGGAGTCTTGGGTCAAGAAATTGCTAGTATTTTACATGTTAAAATTGAAAATATAGGGGTAAACTGTAAAGCCTATATTTTAACTATGCAAACATATTAATTACAGTTTCTAAACTATATTAAAAAGAAATTATCTAGCACTATTCTGTCTGAATTAACACTGGTAAAATCTAATGAACTTAATTTCCTTAGTGTGAAAGTAAATTAACTCTTGAATACCTAGTAATTTTTGGTCACCTAAAAAAGGATCATAACACTGTTCATCACCAAAGTAAACTGATTGTGAGGGATTTTTATAAAGTATATCTAAACCATATAATACCATCTTGAGCTTGTTCGAATGCTGAAAGTTATTTCTTATTCTCCCAAATCTGGAATTCAGTATATTGCTGCCACTGGTGCTTGCTAGGAAAGCTTGTAAATAGTGTTCCAAATTTTGAATTAATTTTGGACACTATGAATTCAGACAGCATTTGGTTAGAGAGATAAAGTGGTGGCCAGCATCAAATTTGGAAGCAGAGTAGGGGGAAATGTACTTCACCAGTTAGAGATAAAAATGCTTGAACCATGCCATCCTATGAAAAGTTGGGTTGGAAGCTAGCCTTATTTAATGTTTTACAAAACATCTGCAAGAGGATGAATAGTGATGCTTCGGGTATGAAAACCTTCAGAGCTTTCCTGCACACCCGCAAGGAAGAACGTGTCATGTGAGAGCCAGCAGCTCTGGCTGACTGCTCCTGCACAGGGAAGGATTTAAGTGGCACTATACGTTATTTTCTAAAGACTTTTCAATCCAGTGTGCTACTACAGCTCAAAATATTAACAAAATATGCAGTGCTGAGGATGACTCCTAGATGTTTTAATATGGCATGTGAAAAGGATTTATGATTGGAGAGAGGCAAGTAGAAACTGTCTTTCTCATGCTTCCAAAAGGGAAATCACGCAGGTCCAAGAGTAACCCTCATCCATCAATCCCTCAGAATACACTGTTAGCTACAATTGTGTGATGGAATACTGAGCAGTCCTCAAATTAGATATACAAGACATTTCCACTTGCTTAACTTACATTAATCATCATAGTATCAATCTTAATGTTTAGGTTCTTCCCAGTAGACATACAAATTTATTTACAAAGAAATAATCTCTCTACTTTTTAAATAAAGTTAGTTTATGTATCTCTTCTGACAATTACTAGTTCATGCACAGCCATCAACAACCATTAATAAACTGGGCAATGCCAATTTCCTTTCCATCTAAGAGCACCAATTACATAATCAAGTCTTCCATCTAAGCAATAGGATAATGAGTAATGCTCTTGTGTCCTATGCTATCAATGATACTTTGGTGTTGTTTACAATATATTTGCGTGAGGAAGAGACAATGAACTGATTCTTAGGTACGTACCTTCATAGTTGGTTAATATCCTAGGTAAAAGTATGTTCTCATGTAAGTACTTAAAACCAAGAAAATGAGAAAAACATCTTCATCTCCTTACCTTCTATTGCTGATAGGAGAACTCGAGAATGATCATAGGCAATGACATTTGCATATCTATTCTTTGGTTTGTTTACTTCCAAGTTTGAATGTTCCCATGTGAACTGCTGGCCAGGGTCAATTGACTTTAAAAGAAAAACAGCACAGACAAAATCAATATTGAATAACACAGAATTATAGGCATTTATCACAGCAACAATCATGATTTAAAAAGAAAATTCTGAAGCCACACTCTATCAAGATGATTCTAGCTGTGGAGGTGAACACTAATATAAATAGTGGAGCACAAAATGATTAATCATAGTAAGCAGCAGTGATAGTCACCAACATTGATTCCAATGAAAAAAATCAATGTAGATGTCCTGTTAATATTGGAAAGACAGGTTTTTATACTTTTCCTCTTTCTTGCTACAGCTTATAAGTTTGTATGGTTCAATATTCCTTCTGGTTCTGTGAGCACTGTTTTATTTTGATTTTTCTTGCTGTTGGCTCCTATCTAGAGCTGAGCTCAGTCTTCAGGTTGAGTGCTCCTTTAACAGCTCACTGGGAACAGGCTGTGGATTCTTCTCCATACTCATGACTGATGACAACTTTAAGGTCTGTCTGTCTCTTCATAACACACTGTGGCCAATATTACGGGTAGCTATACAATTCAGTTAATAACAACAGTAAGAAAAATAAGTCAAATAATTACTCAAAACACTAATTTATAATCTATGGCAGACAGAGTACCTGTTTTCCTACGTACCATTATATTTTTCCACGTATTATTATTTTATCATTAAGTTTGGTTTTTATTACTTATTGTAATCTTAGCTTTTCTTTTTCATCTTTCTTTGATGTCACAGTGCAGCCAAAATTACTGAATAATGTCAAATATTACAGATATACACTATGCAATTTTATAGTTAAATTAAACTGTTGTTTCAAGATCACATTCAGCAGTGATTACAAAACACTAGGTGATCTGTTAATTTCCAGCAATAGCATATAAATCAAAATACATTTTCTTTTATCACAGGAAACTGGTACCTTACGAGTTTTAATTTCACAGAACATGAGAACATGAGCTGAATAATAGTATTAACATGATTTTAAATGTTTAAAATGAAAATTTCAATAGTAAGTAGTTTAGTATAAATTTTTTTTGAAAAGTTCATAAAATATTTTAGTTATTTTTGATGTACGATATTTTACATGTTTATATGTTTTTAGGTAGAATTTGAAAGCAAAACATACAAAACTACTATATATATGTAAAAATACATATATCCTAGTAAAAGACATAGACTTCAACACAACATAAAACTCATAGGTATAAAAAGCCAAGTGTGTCAATAGTCTTGAAAAGTCCCCAAACACACTATTTTCAGCAATATTTAAGAAGGAATATATGATTTTTCATGTCTTAACCTGTATTAGTTCTCTATTTACAAAAGATTCACTCATTGAATACTCTGTAAAACAACTGGCCATGCTTTTACAGTCTAAAGAAGAACATTACTAAGGCCTTCCAAAGTTGTTCTAGGGAAATGTATCATCTGCCCTGGAAAACACAATCCTCTCCAGGTATTATTCCATGATCAAAAGGACTGAATTCAGTTGTCTGGAAGGTAGCATTCAAGTCAATTTGAACCTTGTTCACACAGAACACCTGTACACATTGAACTCCCTTAAAAATATCTCAAGTTTCTGGGGATTTAGCTCAGTGGCCTAAGTTCCCCAACCCACTGGCATTCCCTAAAGCCAGAATTTCAGTATCTACAGTCTAACTGAAATCCCTCCTATTACTCCAACCCATTCTTCACTCTATTGCCAAAGATGTTTTCTGAAGGGCAAGTGTGTATGTTTGGTTATTCTCCTGCCTCTGGGTGGGTTTACAGCTCCAATTCTAAATTCCTTAGCCAGAGCCTTACCTACATAAGTAGCCACCTATGCACATACACTATACCTGCATTTGTAAATGGCTCTATAATTTACTTGAATGAATAGAATTGGTGAACAAATGTGTCTGACAAAAGCTCATAAAGAAGTTGGGCATGGTGGCTTATGCCTGTAATCCCAGCACTTGGGAGGCTGATGCAGGAGATCGTGGCAAGTTCGAGACCAGCCTGGGCTACAAAGTGAACTCAGGGACTGCCTGAACTGCATAGAGACACCCTGTCTCAAAAAAGACCAAAAAATGGCATGGAAGTAACAGAATGATAAGCCCTCAATGTACAGTGTACCAAAATTTTAACTTTTCATACACAGCTTAAGAATTAACTACATAATCCTGAGATAACTGTCACTGCTATTTCACTTTGCATTTATGAATATTAGTGAACAAGCCTCTTATGTATTATTCAAATATTCCAGGAAGCTCCAGAGCTATGACTAGCCAGTTATTTTGGTAGAAGATACTTCTCATGGCTTTGCTTCACTCAAACCAACATCACCTACAGGTGTGTAAATGGCATGCATGTCATTTTAATAAGGAAACTGTATATTTTGACTTGAACACACTGTTAATTGTGCCACAGATTTCTACTCTTGCCACACATTCCTACCCTCTGCATGATTTATTTGATACCTACACTGAAGAATTTACATACACTGAATTGGTAATGGAAAAATGAGTTGTGTGCCATATATGCTAATATGCTTAGTCAGAATATTACTTAAAAAATACAAGAGGTTAATTTCAAAAACAGCTGCCAATTTACTACCCTTTACATATAGTACCATTTCATTTTCACAACTGTTGAGGTTGATATTGTTTTTTTTGCATTTGGGAAACTGAACTAAAGAAAATTAATTCATTCAGCTTGTTGGAGGCCTTTTCTGTCACAGGCACTGTATCTTTGTTATTTGGCTAACTCACACAGCTAGACTCAGAGCTACCCTCAAACACAGATCTGTCTGAATCCAAAGCCCAGCTGATAATTACCAGCTAGCAATCAATAAGCCACAGCACTACTGAACTATCCAGGAAGCTCTGCACTGTGAAAGAAAGAAGCCCGATAGTGAAACACACCTAAAGGTAACTATCCTTTATCTGGCCGGTCTGAATAATATTTCTTCCCAACTTATCATCCTGTGTCATTCTGGGACAATTACATAAGAAATCACATTTTAAAAATGAGTTTGGCTTCCCATGGTTGATAAAACAGATGGGGTACAGCTTACATTTATTCTTGTTTTACAGATCAAACTAACGTTGATTAAATAATGCTGACTTGTCTTTGTGCAACATAGCTCTCATCCATCTGTATCTATCTGTCTGACTGAACGTTTAACAATACACAGCATAAGTCATTATTTTTGGAACTTGTCAGAATGCTGAGAGCAGTAAACTCAGTAGAGAAGAATAACTACCAAAAGCAGGTAAGGTAGACCAACATCTTTCAAATATTGAAAGAAAAAAAAAACTCACTAAGGAATAGTTTCCATTATGCCTTTTAATAAGCTGAAGATACTACGGATGTATGATTCCAATCTCAACTCATACTTTTTAGGCTTTTCATGGTGCTCATAATGATGCCATCTCTTTGTTCTGTAGTTTGCTTTGCTGCTGTGTCTTAAGTGGAAATGAAATGACCAACATAGATGGAAAAACAGCAATGCAGACCTTGAGTAAATAGAGAAGTTGACTGAATTCACCCTCATGTTTTGTCTGGTCTGCCCTGACCAGGAATCTTTCCACCACCAGCTCACACTGAAGCCACCTCGATGTTACTCATAGTGACGTGAAGTAAGCCCCTTTCCCTCATGGACTTAATGAATTCTTTGGGGTGGGGTACTGCTGGTATTCTGAATGATGAGCTTGACTCAGTTCTCTCTATTCATCCTCCCAGCTTCCTCTCTCCAAAGGACAGTGTGACAACCTTATTGTCCCAGCACTCAACCCAAAGTACCACTTTCCCTAGTTTGCTACAGTGTCCTTTGAGGAGGACTTTGCAAGTCAGACACAAAGCAAGGTAGATTTATTCAACCACAAGTTGATTAATGGACTTTGAATAAATTATATGAAGTTCATACATTATATTATCATAGAATTCAAGCACTGGATTCACAAACAAGACTGTTTTATCGTACTGTATTTGTTTCTCTAGCCATTCAAAAAGACTACATAATAATGGATCCTGAATGGATCCTACGCATCTAAAACTACCCAGATCTCAGTCTGTTTTACTCCCTTGTCTACTCATCTGGTACTGGGCAGCCCTCCTCACAACAGTTTCAGACTAGATCATTCTAACCTTAACAAACCTTCCACTCCCGGCTTTACCCTACTGAGAAATAAGTGACCAAGCAGAAGGAAAGTCTTCCTTGTGAATAATTTTTACATTTTTAAAACTTTGTTTTTATCATAGTTTGTTTGTATTACATCTTGGAATTTATTATATACAGAAAGTCTCAATTAGATGTTTGCTAATCCTATTTAGTCTTGAAGAATGACTTTTTTAATCAGTTAGGACTTTGAGACAGGTAAAAGGAAAAATAAGCTACATATAATAAAGGTTTATGTTTTCCTGAATCCTTGATTTAAAAGCCAGAATTACAATATAAGTATTTAAATAACAGTTATAATTATACTTACATAAATTTACTGTTTTCTTTGAGTTGTACGTGTAAACTGGTTTTATCTTTTAAAAACTTCTAAAAGTAATCATCATTATTATTATTGTTCTGTGAATGAGGAAACTGAGGTACACAGAAATTAACTCTTCCACAGTCAACAATGGTAGGTGGAGGAGCCAGGTTTGGGTCTGGGAATTCTGATCCCCAAGCCTGAAGTCACAGCCACCACGCTATTCTTTTTGTCTGATCAAATGGGGGGAAGATCTCTGATTGTTTTCAAGTTTGCCTTTCAGTTATTCTCTTAAAACACAGTACAAGGAAGGCTAAGATCAAACTCTGTATAGTACTGCTAACCTGTATTTACAATTCTAAACAAAGAAAAAAGTGATCATAAATTTGCACCTCAGATTACAGCCACTGGGTAAAACTACATCCCAATATACCCAGGACCTTTGTTGGTAAAGTTGACATCATCATAGGGCAATGACTTTCACTGGTTCTGCAAAATCTAACCTTTTAATCCAAAGACTATACTTCACAGGGCAAAACACCACATAATAGC